ACTGCAGGACAGCCTGGACAAATGAAGCCATTACATTGCAGTTACATACTGGCATAACTCCTTCATCCCATTTTAAAGTGGTATAACTGATTCATCTGTCCCCTGTGACATCATAGGCTAGTGAGGAGTTACTTAGTCATGTAGTCCCATTGGCTAGGGACAGCCATTACACATAAACCGGTTTAAGTGATCAGAAACTGGTTTAAACCTGTAACAGAACAGACAGTCGGTGAAGATAAACCAGTTTAAAAATGGCTAAAACTGGTTTAAGATAAACCTGGTTGAATGTGGTATTAGACTTAAGTGATTTGGCTCAAACTGGTTTATGCAATATCTATCTCAGAAGCCTTGCTGGTTTAAGTTAACCATAGACCTACAGCATCTTGACATGCTTTCTGGGCTGGGCTCTCTGCTCCAGCCTAGCCAGGCTGACCCCGCCCCTCTGCTCTTCAGGCACAGCAGGGATGGGTGGGGTGAAGGTCTGGCCAGGAGGGGTTTAATTCCCCCCTCTCTATCCCACCTGCAGGGACCAGAGCTGGGTCTGCAGTGGGTCAACCTGGCCCCTGAGGCAGAGGGGGCAGGGAGGAGAGTTAGTCTTCATTCTACTGCCATTGAAGGGCCCTTTTTGGGGGCAGCAGCCCCTGTCATTATGTGGGGGAGTGTGAGCCCCTTCCTGCAGGGGGCGCTATGCTACAGGGCTGGCAGAGCTGTGGCAGGCTGCACATGGCAGCACCAAGGTCCGGAGTGGGCCAGTACCCTGCAAGCCCATCGCAGCACAGTTGCACTCCACAGCAGTTCTGCTGGCCCGCAGAGTGGCCCCCACTGGGAAGGGGCTAGTGCTCCAGGAAGTTGTGACAGGCTGAACTGGTTTGCCTGTCATGGTCACTCATCACTCGCTGCTCCAGCTGGTGGGCAGGGGCAGGGCCCGGCCCCGGCCCCGGCCCCTGCTGCTTAGTCTGTGCTCAGAACAAGCCCCGTCCTGGCAAGAGGGGGCTTATTTCAGCCACTGGTCCTAAGCACAGGCTGAGCAGCAGCTGTGGCTGGCCTGGGTAGACCCCGCTGCAGTGCCAGAGGCTGAATAAGGGGGAGGGGGCCTGCTGGAAGTGGTCTTTCCCCAAGCACAAAAAGGCCACAGTAGGGTCTGCCAGGCCTGGCTGCTGCTGTCGCTCTGTGCTTGGGGCCAGCTCCCTTCTGGGAGGAGGTGGCTTATTCAGTTGCTGGCCCCAAGCACAGGCTGAGTGGTGGCTGCAGCTGGGCTGGGCAGACCCCACTGTGGTGCCAGCAGCTTTTCTGTGCTTGGGGCAAGCTCGCTTCCAGTAGGAGGGGGCTTATTCAGCCATTGGTGCTGCAGCAGGTTTGCCTGGCCTGGCTGCCACTGCTCTGTGCTTGGGGCCAGCAGCTGAATAAGCACCCTCCTCCTGGGAGGGGACTGGCCCTGAGCACAGAGAGGCAATGCCCAGGCCAGACAGACCCCACTGTGGTGCCAGCAGCCTCTCTGTGCTCGGGGCAAGCCCCCACCTTGCAGGAGGGGACTTATTCAGTCGCTGACTTCTGGCACCACAGCAGCGTCTGCCCAGCCCACCTGCAGCCACTGCTTGGCCTGTGCTCGGGGCCAGTGGCTGAATAAGCCCTCTCTTGCCAGGAGGGGATTTGCCCCGAGCACAGGCTGAGTTGTGGAGGCCAAGCCCTGCCCCTGCCCCTGCCTGGCAGCTGGAGTGGCGAATAGTGAGTGACAGTAATGGGCAGCAGTGGGGCCACTCTGCAGGGCCAGCAGAGCTGCTGCAGAGCATGGCAGCGCAGTGGGGGGCTTGCAGGGCTATGGCCTGCTCCAGACCTTGGTCTGCTGTGCACAGCCCACCACAGCTCTGCCAGCACTCACTCTTCCCCACATTATGATAGGAGCTTCTGCCCCCAACAAGGGCCCTGCCCCTTCCTGTTGCAGCGGCGGGGTGGAGGCATGGCTAGACGCCAGCCAGCAGGGCACCTTGGGGTGGGGGGGGCAGGGACAGGGGTTATTCCTTCTCCCTATGTCATCCAGCAGGGGGCATAATCCAGGGCAGGGAGAGTGGCTGCGATGCCAGGCAGACCCAGCTGCCAGTGGGGGTAGAGGGGAGACTAACTCTCCTCCCTGTCCCCCTTTGGGAGAGCGCCCAGCAGACTTGGCTCTAGTCCCTGCCAGTGGGATAGAGAGGGTGAGGAATTAAACTTCTCTCTGGCCAGTTCAGCCTGGACTGGCCATGCCCCCGCCCCCCAGCACAGGTTCCCTGCTCCTGGCCTGAGCAACTGCAGACATGTGCCTGCATTGCCTCAGCCCAGAGAGAATGTTTGTCCTCTTTCAAACTGGTTCAGCCTAGGCAGGTTAGACTAGCCTGCAAAGGTTGAATCAATTCAGGCTCCAGCTTTTTGAATGTCTGTCCCTAGCCCTTGAGACTAATGGTAGAATTTGAATTCAGTGAAACTTCCCCATAATGTCATTTTTAAAAAAAATTTTTTTTTGGGAAGGGGATCAGGAAGTCACAATCTATCTAAGCAAACATGATTAAATCTCTAAGGAATGTTTCAGGAGTTAGGATTCAACATAATTTCTATTTACATTGCAGGGGAAATTCAGCACTTTAAAAAAGCATTTGAAGGGACAAATACCAGTGTTATGGGACTACCTCTTGCTTTCTATTCAGGAATGTACGCCTATTCAGGCTGGTAAGTTAAACAAAGATATTCACTTGCATTAAAGATTGTACTGGAAATGAACATTTATTTTGTAACAAAGCTATTTACTGAGGCAGTAAATTGACTGGCACATTCTTAGTCTTGTTTTGAACTATATTCAGGAAAAAAATCTGCCCCTCTTAGTTATTCAGTAGTTACTCTAGAAGAAGCCACAGTGAGGAAATAGAATCATATTGCAGGGACAAGAAAATAAGCACCATCTAAATAATCATTGGTTTATATTTTTGGCTTCAAAGCTAGAACCGAAGCGAACAACAAGGAAAGCATTTTAAATTTTACGGCTATTCTTAGAATGTATATAATACATATTAAAAAGCTCTTTAATGAAAGCATTCCTTTTGTTAAATAAATGGATAATTTTCAAGAAAAAATGTGGTCCATGTGGACTTGAACGTCTGCTTCATGAAAATAATTACTAAGTGCTTAAATTTACTAATAAATCTAAGTAGGTCATAAAGTAATGCCATAAGAGTAAATTCTATTTTTTTTTCTTACTGGTAGCATCTCATGTAGATGTGCCCAGCTTAGCAACTGAATAATATTGCACAGTCACAGCACCAGCAGTGCTGATATGCCACTGTGCGGTATTATTAGGCTACTGAGCAGCAGCAACCCTTAAAAGTGTTCACCAGCACTACTGCGCAGTAACTCCAATTACTGCACATGTATTTAATACTTGATTATATAAGTACTAAATTAATGTGCAGTAACCACTGTTCAGTAGCTTGTTGTGTAGACATGCCAGCTAAGTAGTAAATTGCTTTATGGGCACATCTACATGAGTTGTTTACTGCACAGTAAACATTGTGCATCTACATGTGTGGCCCTATTAGGTCACAGTAAACTAACTCTGTAGCAGGATAATACTTGTAAATGCAAGTACTACTGTGCTGTGGAGTTACTTACTGTGCAGCAATGCACATGAAGACACTGACCTGGGTACAAATTGTGGCTGGTCAGCCCAGCCAGCAGAGGGCCACACTCCTGTCTGCTGCCTAGCCAAATGGCTCAGCAGCTGCAGGAGCCTTGTAGGCTAGCCAGCTCCTCTGCCACCCAACGCAGTCACCCACTGCCTGGACCTGACCCCTTGTGCCCCCTGCCCCCCAGACCATGTGCCACCCTACTGCCATCAGCCAAACCACATGACTGACCCCCATGCCCCCTGCCAGCCTGAGGCTGGCACCTGGAGAGCTGTGGCCAGACCCTGGAGCTCCCCTTGGCTGCTGCAGAGCAGGAGCACCCCTGCCCTAAAATGCTCCTCCCTGGCTCAATTTGCTGCTGTCCCAGGTGCAAGTGTAGATGCTGTTCTCAGAAGCAAATTGCTCTGCAGTTTAGTCATGCACATTAACTGCACGTGTACACATGCATGCATGAGTAGTTAACATTTTTTCTGTAGGAGTAATGTACCATTCAATATGAACTGCAGGTATCTTCCTCAGCAATTTCCTTTTGAGTTCTTTTCCCTCCCTGTAACTAGCTCCACAGTTGCTGGCTTGGAACAAGTTGATGTTCTGAGATTCTTCCTTACCATTTATTCATGTCTAGTCATGTGCTTCCCTTGTGCAATATAGGCATACTTTAGATAATACTACAATACACAGACTGGATTTAGATGGAGAGATCTTTATTTGTTAGCCTTCTTTTCCTTTACCAGAGTGTCCCAGGTAGAAGAGTACCTTATTTTATATAAAAGATTAGAACTGAGTGCTAAGTTTTATTTATTTATTTATTTATGAAGCAATCACATGTGTAGTAGAGTTCTCTGTTAGCCTTTTATTCCTCTGTTGCAAGGGAATTACAACTGTGAACAAAACTCTTTTAGTAAGTTGTACATGGGACACCCAAGAGGGTTCATGGCCTTTGCCTGTTACTTCATAAAATGGAGGTAATATCTTTAATTAGACCAGCTAGATATTTGCAAAAAAAATTCATTTGCAAGCTTTTGCACACACTTGCCCTTCCTCAGGCAGAGGAGAATGCAGAGATTGTAAAATTTCTCCTAGGTGGAAGTGAAAATTCATATTTCACAAGATTGCTGAAAGTGTTATAAGGTCTCCTGGTTGGAATAATTCATTTTGTTTTGCAAATATCTAGTTAGTTTAATAAAAGATGTCACCTCTGCTGCGAGTTCTGATTCCTGTTCCATGTAGACCAATATGGCTACAACCTGTGTCCTTAAAATGAAGGTGGCATATTGATGGCTCAGAGAAATCTACCTCTTTTTTATATAGAATTTCTCTCATGAGGGCACATGTATCTGTACACACACTCACATATTCCCTCTGAGCCATACATATACAATGAGATTAAAATACATTACATCTACATTAAAATACTTGTCTTACAATCTATTTTTATATGTATTGCCATTTTGAGAGTTCCTTGGTTCAGTTTAGTCACCACTGGAGCAGAGATTGCAGAGAGTGAAAGAGGAGGTCTAAAAATATGATTTTAGTCATGCTGTTTTGTTCCATCCCAGACAACACACTAATCATCCCAAAACTTGTGTAATTGTTTTTAATATTGCTGTTTTCCCTTCTCACTTACAAATTTTCAGTCCAAGTTTCTCAATGGCCACTTGCAAAAGTAATTAAGATCTAAAGATATACAACTTTTGGCAGTGCTTATCCCAACCTGCTTATCTCTCTGTCACCAGCTCAGATTGATTGCTTCAGAACAGGACAGTCCACAGCACTAAGCAGCACGTCAATAGCTTTGTTCGGTTAATTCCTACTTTAAGGAGCACAGAAAAATGTTATGCTTTGTTTCATGTTACTGGCAGAATTTAGCATATGCACTATAGCCTAACACTAAAATAAGGAACAAAAATAACAGGGATATTTATTGGCTGTATTTGTGGTTTATGTAGCAAGAGCAAGGTATGTAAATGCCAGGTAGAATGTGACAATCAGGAAAAGAGTCTACATGAGGAGACTACTGCCTAGCAGCAGGAATAAGACCTAAAATATGAGCTTAAATGGCAGTGCCTTATCAGTCATAACCAGTATCCCCACCTCACTTCCCGATCCCTGTTATGCTCTGTGTACTTCAAAGTATAGGAATAATAACCATTTAACTTTAACCTTACTATTGTTCATAGCCTTGCAAATAAATATGCACCACACTGCCTTGAGTGCAGCCTGCTCATTGGTTATGCTGACAATTGTGCCATAGCTTATGGGAAGAACATCCTGGGTTGCTGGTTCTATACCTGATATTGGCTGTTACTTCCGGTATTGACTGAAAGTTTAGAGGGGGGTTTTTGGGATTACTTTTAACCTGGTCTCTGTGATGATCTGGTCAAGGTTACTGATGTAATCTTTTTTTGTCATTACATTAAATGCAAGCTTAAGGTCAGGGCCTAAGTCTTCAGACTTAAGTTAGTTGAAAAGGGTTTTTAGCTACGCTTATTCAGTATATGATCTTGAAAAGAACTTAAAGCGCAGTGACACTGTGCCTAGAATTTTGTGGTCTGTTTTATGACAGAAAAGAAAATCTTCCCTTCCAAAATGTAAGAGAAAAGAGTGACCGGGTGTGATTTGTTCCCTTAATATAATTGTACAGGTAGGTCTATAAAGTGTGATAATTGACTGGCCTGTTAAATGAACCAAAAATACCCATAAGCCTCTTTGAAAATTAATCTAAAATGAAAATGTTGTTTTAAAACAAAACCCTTTATAATAATTTTTTCTGCTTCTAGGTTTTACCTCAATTTTGTTACTGAAGAAGTGGAAAATCCAGAGAAGTAAGTATGTTATTTTTTCCCTTTTACTTTTTAAAACAAATGCAACATTCAAAATGCGGCGAGAGAAGCAGAGATCTGTGGAAATTCTGCATTCTAATCAAGTTGCTTGCTTTTCCAGCAGATCTGGTATCTATTTGAATTGCTACTGCTTGAAGATTTGCTATTTTTGGCCTGTTGTGACCTTGTTGTATATTCTGCTTTTATGTGCACAGAAAGCAGAAAAGTAAGTAGGTCTCTAGGGTTCTGATTCTCTCCTTCAGGATGCAAGTAACCGTCAATGGCTTCATTCTTGTAGTCTTTCCTGGAAAATCAGACCCAAGAATTTTTCTGAGTGCTCCATTATGTACAAACTTTATTATTACTTAAATATTGGTCTAAATACCTAATTCTTCTTGTTTGAAAGTTAATGAAAACTCATGACTTCAGAATCAGGAATGCATCTAGATCAACTTATTAACTGACAAAGGCCCCAGGACAGCAGGAGAGCATGACAGGAAGGTCTGTTACAAATTCCTTATATAGGGGAACATAAATTATTCCTTAAATACCTATTTGTAATACATGTGAAGGAAACTTGGAAAAGCTGTGGAACTTTGGTTTGGGAGATGTATGCTCTAGGTCCCAGTAGTACCTCACTGAATGAGTTTAAGTTTGGTGGATGACTGAAAACAGGTTTCATCAAATAAACACAAGTTCATTCTTTGAGGACAGTTTACAAGTTTACTTGATAAAGATATAATATGCTTAGACTTCACTAAGATGTTTTACTTACGTAGTGCCAAAAAATACTGATAATTTAGAATTATACAATATCAGTATATTTCATGGATCAAGGATTAGTGGACTGTGCCCTTCTCCCTGTACTGGGGGCCCAATCCTGGCATGTGAGGGCCAGCAGAGGCCATGTTGGGCCTGATCTGTTCCAAAGACCAGCCCCCACATCACTCATCTGGCCTGTACAGCCTAAAGATTGAGCACTGGTGATCTTGAAGCTTTGCAAATTATCATGTAACTGTCATTAGTACATACGTGCTGTTCTGCACAAATACACAAGTAGTAATTGACTTAAGAGTAAGTTACTGATGGTTTTTGTTTTGGAAATCTTTGGAGGGCAATCCTCTTCTGTTTATACCAACAGAAGTTTTCTGCCATTAACTTAAATGAGTGCAAAATCATGTGGAAACCTACATATTTTTGAGTATGTGGGTACATGCAGACATTTGCCACACCTGATTTACAATCATGTGGTTTACTTTAAGATGTGTGATTGTAGATCCCAAGCAGTTTATAACCACATTTGCTGGTACTGGAAGCCTTACCGGGGACCCAATCTAATAACTCAGGGTATGGGGAGTGGCGGATGGGATTGGGGGAGCCAGTGGGTCCACAGGGAAGTTTGGTGGGTTGGAGGGAGGGGAGGTGTTGGGATTGGGAGCAGTTGCTAGGTTGGTTGGTGTCGAGGGAGTTGATGGGTGTGCAGGGTGATTATCCACCTGGGGGTGGGAGGGCTAGGGGGCTAAAAATAATCTTGTCAGGGTGGGTGAGTGGGTAGGTGCAGATGTTTGGTAGATCAGGCTAACCCTTTCCCAATCTAACATAGTCAACTGCCCCAAACATCTGCATGGATTGGCATGTAGAACAACCTAACCCTAATTAGCTTGTTCTTAATTTAACATCCACATGTACTCTCCAGTGGTTAGGACATATGAGCCATTGTTTTTTATCAACAAAGTATATTGCATTACATGCTCTGGATTATATCCTCATGTTCAGCTGAGATGTGTTTAGTACACCTGGGGAGGAGGTGAATGCCAAGGTGGCTTGTAAAGGTGCCTCTCTTGGGAGTATCCAGTCTGGGATTTTCTTTATCAAAAGTGAATGCTTAGAGGGCTGGTTGAACTGTCTCTCTGCACTGCTGGAGCAGATCCAAGAAATGTGAGAGGTATGCTACTTCAGATATGCAAAATAGCTGGGCCCAGATAGCCCATCAGATTCAGTGTGTTCCTTTAAAAGGTGTTGTCATAATTTAAGGCTCTATCTTGCATGGGTAATATTGTTTCCTCTTTACTACAAAGCTGTTGAAGCTTCACTTCATCACTCTTTCTGTTCAGGATGCTGATTGAGAGGGAGATAAAGGAAGATGCCCTGTGTTTACAGTGCGTCTGAGGACACATTCTTCAGATAAAGGGAGAAGTAGATAAGAGAAGAGATCAAGGTTTCCAATGCATTATTTAATAACTCACAAAGCATAATTGGACTGAACGAATTATTACCTGCTATGCTGAATGAGACCTTTGTGCCACCAATAAATCAGGTTTTCGACTCCATTAAGCAGTCCTGAAAGAGAAGCAGTTAAATAAAACATTGGGCATTTTTTAGTTCAGTTGCTATGTTCAGGTTCTGTTGGAAAGATTCTGCTAAGGCAGATCCTGAGAGAAATTTTGCATTATAATAGGAATCTCACTGGAGTCAGAGCTGAAACATAAAACTGCCTAACTAGTATAGCAAAAAGGACTTCAGGATAGCATAGACTAATTCTAATAGGGCCTAACCCAACTTCCACTGAAATCAGTAGGAGTCTGTCCATTAATTTTAATGAGCAGTGAATCAGGCTACTAAGTGGCATTGGTGAAATAGCCATTTAACAGGCCTCCCAGTAACATAGAAATTCTTTAGGTTGAAACACTGACTTTCCTTTGCATATCTTTATGTTAAAGAACTCATATGGTAAAGCTGTGTTAGACAGGTATTACATTATAAGATTTAAACAAGAATTAGGGATATTGCTGTTAACATGTTAACAGTTGTAACTGCTCCAGGTACGTAATTTGTAATATTTTGTAAATGGCTGTAGATGCAAATTCCTTTGAGGAGCCAAGGAGTATGTAAAGATTTGTTCTGCATTATGATGTGTCAAGGCATGTGTTTGCTTCACAACCCATTACAGTTGTACATTTGCAGGTGTGTTGCAGTGTGTAAAATAACTGGCAGCTGGTACTTGGCTGAGTGATCAGATGATTCTCAAACAGCTTTAAACCAGTCTTCTCCAAACCCACAGTTAATATGTACTCAAAAAGTTAAGTGGGGAATATACTTAATTGCATCACTGGGGGTGTATAGTTGTCTTTCACATAGAGTACTTGCAACAAGCTGCCAGGTGCCCACCTTTGTTGAGACTTGTTTACTTCCTTTTTAACCTACTGAGCCTTTGAATCCTTTTGCTCAGCAAAGTTGTGAGGGGTGATTAGTATGGGCAAGTATGGTACAGATTGTGCAAAAGAACATGAGGGGAGTGTCTACATGAGAAGCTAAATGCGCAGTAGCCTAATAATACTGCACAGTAGTGTGTTATGGTAGAAAGAGTGCTAATATGCTACTGAGAAGTATTATTAGGCTACCTAATAATTAAAAAGACATGTACCAATGCCGCTGCACAGTAATGCTGGTTACTGAACATTGACTTAGTACTTGGTTATATCAGTACTAAATTTAATGCATAGTAACTGCGGCATATTTATGAATGCGTAGACGTGCCCAGGAAGATCAAGACAGCCACTGGATTGTCTCCTATACTTTTAACTTTTCAAAGCAAGGTTGGCTTTGTTTTTAGTCTGCCATGTATTAGGAATGCTGTGGGGGTGTAAAAAAAAGAGTAGAAATGCATTGTAACTAAGAATAATAAATCAGATAACACATAACTCAGAAAATTGAGCTGGTCAGGGCTGTGGAGCTAAAAATGCTGTGTGTGTTGCTGAAAGTCTGCAAGCATGCTTGGTTGGATTGCTGCATCTGCACAAAGAGCCTTGAAGTCACTGGGACTCCATGTGAATGCTGCAGAAGGCCCAGGTACAACAAAATGCAGGATCAGGGCTATAAATAGGGAAAACAGCCTGGGGCTCACTCAGATGCCATCCTGATACAGAAAGCTATAACTGAGAGAGAACACTCAGCTGCTGAAAATAAGTGGAGGAAAAAGAGGCTATAGGAATTTTGGGGAAAAGGCAAAATACAGAAGGGGGAAAGTCAGAAAATGAAGGAAAATGCAATTTATGTTTGAAGTTGTATTGCCGTTTGGGAAGATGGCTGATGCCTATTTTGGATATGATACAGTCTTGTCCAGAAAAGTGTTTACATGTATCACAGTTTATCATAAGTGTAAGAATAACTGTGGGTCTTCTGTCTTCTACTAAAAATCTCTACGTTGCCCCTTCTCATGTTTTGGAATTAATTTCTTTATTTCTTGTAAGCACAAACTTAAAGACACGGTATCTTCAAGTACTAATGAGGCTTGAAGCAACATGGAGGTTAATGTTAGTTTCTCATAGCTTTGAAGGTTGCAGAGTTTAGCTGCTTTGGCATGCAATTTATTTTAATAACCTGAAAAAGGTGTTACTAAGCATATATGCAACTGCAGTGCAATACAATAGCCATGGTTTTTTTTCCCACTCTATAAAATTAACTTCTACATATGCGTGGTTGAGTCGATAATGATTATTATTCAAGAAGAAATATTTGAATAACCCTTAAAGCAAAACTTCGTTAAAATGACTTCATGTAGTCATGCCAGTTGGAGCTTTGATCTTTTCAGTTCTCATACATTATAAGGATTAGGCCTTGTCAGAACTTGGGTGATATGATGTATTGTCTGGAAAACAAGTTAATGAGCTAACAACCAGTAGTTTGAAAGAAAGAAAATAAGTTTGAGACTTTGGGCAGCAATATCAGGATGTGAATAGAGACGACTGAAACGGAGTTCACTGAGCTTTCACACTTGTTTCTAATATATAGTCTTTGGATTTACCCTGAGGTTCAGGGGAATTATGCTGCCTCACTGTCCTTCCAGCCAAGACTACAATAGTAGTTCTGATGTAGCTATTATATCTTGGCTTCTCTTGAGCGTAGATCAGATTCCAGGATTGGGACCTTAGTTTGTAAGGAATATTTAGGATCCCATCATCTGAAAGAAATTGTATATATTAGTAGTATATATATTTACATTA